GTTAACTTTTTGGCCAGTAAAGTTAAAAAAACCAAAAAAATTAAAGAGCAAAACTTATTCAAATTACAATAAACTGTAAGCCTTATATGCCATATTTTACAAATCGGGAGGTGAAGTGTACTTTTCTCAAATTACAAGGGAGAAATGTGCAACTCGTCTTTCTTTCTTTAGTTGAGAAGTGTATCAACTATCAACCGTTGCATCGCCAGCTTAGCGCCTATAGCTTACCCAGATGATGGGTAGCCTCCAAGCAGCCTTTCTGCCTGCGTGGAACCACCATCGACGCCGGCGGCAACCACCCATCAAGTGTGAAACTTGCGTCGCTCTGACAAAACAAGGCCGCAGCTTTCTCTCCTCTCTGGCAATCAGTTCCGGCGACTCTGCAACTGCTAACCGCTTGATCAAGAAATTCGTCGCATCATCACCCAAATCCGTTGCTCTCGATGCGCTCTCTCATCTTCTCTCCCCTCGAAATTCACACTCTCATCTCTCCTCCCTCGCACTCCCCGTAAGTCCTCGAATTCGTTCAAAGATAAACTGTGTTAATTTACACAAGGAAATGCGAGAATTTATATGTTGAAGCATCTGCATTTGCAGTTGTACATGAAGATTACTGAAGCAACATGGTTCAATTGGAATTCCAAGCTAGCTGCCGATCTCATTGCGTTGCTCGATACACTAGGGCGATGCAAGGAATCTGAAACCCTAATTTCTGATGCCGTTTCAAAATTGAAGCTCCGGGAGAGAGATCTTGCTCAATTCTACTGCAATTTGGTTGAGGCTCAGTCTAAACATAATTCAAAACAAGGGTTTGATGATTCCCATGCTCGTCTATGTGAGCTTGTTCGTAATTCTTCTTCTGCTTATGTAAAGAGGCAGGGGTACAAAGCAATGGTTAGTAGTTTGTGTGAAATGGGTGAGCTTGGTGAAGCGGAGTCTGTGATGGAGGAGATGAGAATGAAAGGGTTGAAGCCATCGTTGTTTGAGTTTAGGTCTATGGTATATGGGTATGGAAGATTGGGACTTTTTGAGGATATGGAGAGGATGGTCTTGGAAATGGAGAGGGAAGGTCTGGAAGTCGATACGGTTTGTTCAAATATGGTTCTTTCATCATATGGAGCTCACAATGCACTTTGCCAAATGGTTCCATGGCTGCAAAGGATGAAGAATTTGGGGATCCCTTTCTCAATAAGGACGTTTAATTCAGTTTTGAATTCTTGCCCTATGATTATGTCGATGCTGCGAGACAGGGATGCTTTTCCTCTTTCAATTGTGGAGTTGAATGAGATTTTAAAGGGGGAAGAGGCATTGCTAGTGAATGAGTTGGCTGGATCTACTGTCTTTGACAAGGCAATGGAGTGGGATGCATTGGAGGCGAAACTCGATTTGCATGGAATGCACTTGGCTTCTGCCTACTTGATAATGTTGCAATGGATTGAGGAGATGAAATGCAAGTTCAAAGATGAAGAACATGTGGTTCCAGCACAGATGACAATTATTTGTGGATCAGGGAAGCATAGCCAAGACAGGGGGGAGTCACCAGTGAAACATCTTGTGAAAGAAATGATGTTTCGGATGAAAAGTCCAATGAAAATTGATAGGAAGAACAATGGTTGTTTAGTAGCCAAGGGGAGAGTTCTGAAGAATTGGGTATGTTTGTTGAGGGAACAGAATGCTTCATTTGATAATGTTTACGGAGAACAAAGTTGATATGAAAATAATGAGTGTAATTGAATGTAGAAAAATAAAATTCTCGATCAGCAAAAACCTTCTAGTTGATATGGAAAAAAAAAAAATGCTGTCTAGTGTCTGTCTCTGTGTACCCTCTAGGATCAAAATAGAGGGGAAATTACTAAAGGCAATCTGGGGGCAATTGCAAAGTGGCAAAACCTCCGAATATGCCATGAAGTTTCATCAATACCATCAAGAGTATGCTTTCTTACGGTTCAGACCATAAAATACTTTTTTGTATTGTCAATTTGGTACTTATAGTTTTCTCTTAGAAAACCAACCACTCAAAAAGTCTCTAACAAGCAAAAACCCTTCAAACCATGGGCCACAAAAGTGATAAGCCACCATTGGTGCATCACTTTTCTAATGCGTGAAAACTTTCATCTCTACCACATTATAGAGAAGTCGATGTAAACAATAGGGTAATTGACCTAATAACAGTTCTTTGAATTTTTGACTTAATCTCAAAAATTAGGATTTAATGGTCATGTTGCATGCACAACATGTGACTTTCGCCATCCACTTTATGAGGACTCAATTTCCCATAGTTTGAGGCTTATTTGGAGAATTTGGAAGTTCAAGGTTACGATAAATAAAATAAAATAAAATAAATAAAACACCCTTGTCATCTTCAACCAATTGGAGGATCGTATTCGACGCGCTAGACCCACGGCTAGCTTCATTTATGGAGTTCACGGCCCAATGCAATGCGCGCAAAGCCAAAGAATCGAACCCGGCATGTCAGGTCCAGATGAAGCGCCGGACTGACAATCGGCCGCGAAAGATCACCGTGACCTTTGTCAACGGAGTGGAAGAAGTTTTCGATGCCACATCCATCCCTGCTCAGACCATAAGGAACATGATTCTCGACAAGGGTCTGCTCCTTGAAACCGAGCAAATGTTCTGTGAGGCTGGCGGGAAGTAGCAAACTGGGGCGATTATTTTAAAGCTATCAGCCTAGAGCTTCCGCGGTGTTTTTCTGTATTGAGGTTACATCGTTCTGTATGGTTTTGGAATTTCATCGAGAAGTAACATTGGGTGATTATTCACTACTTATCTGTTGTGTTATTGAGCTTTCATGGATGGAATTGGGTATGTTTCCCTGATTCTTTTCCTGGTTGCTTTTATGAACATTACAGGATTATGTTGGTTGCTTGCCATTGATCATGCTTTATTCTCTGCTTCCTTGCTCTCGCATTCAACTTGAATCACTTTTCTGCATGATGATGATGAATGAATAGAAAAGTCCAATCTATTTTAAAGCTAACTGCAGCCATGAATTGAATGAGAATCAAAACAAAATTTTGAGAAATTCCCATGTCCATTCTGATCTCAAAGATAGAGTCTAATTTCAAGACAATTGGGAGAATAGCTGTTCTGACTTTTTCTTTGATGGAAAGATGGAAAAGAAGAACAATGGTAAGTTGAATTATGACTTTCATATAATGGATTCTAGAGTTGATTTTTCAGATTATCTTGTGCTCCTTTGAATGTTTTTATTTTGCACAGATTTACAGGCAAAGTTTGCTTGAAAACTCGATGAAAATTGCTGCTACTACTGCTTTATGTTATTAGCCAGTTAGAATATATGTTTTCATCTCTCTTCGTGGTCTTATATTATTATTCTCCTTCTCTTTTTCAACCAAGGAAAGCAGAAAAGAAGAAGCAGTGAAGCATTCTTTCTGATGTGTTGATTTGCTCATTGATGAAGTCAACGACTTGCAGAGTTTGAACAGTGTAATGCAACCTTAACTTTTGTTAGAGATTACACAACTTATGGAAACACGTCTTCAGATCTGAATTTTGCTGCCAGATTGTACGTTTTCATTCATTTACCAAAGTTTTCAGTTTGTTTATGGTGCATGTTTGCAATTATGCTATAAGAATAGTTAAGGCTATCACAGCAATAGATTATTATGTTTGTTCATTTATTTTTTTTGACTATTTTCCACAAAAGCAGGCGTATTCCTTTCAAGTTTGGTTTCATAACTAAGACTTCATTCTTCCTAACGTTTTATGTAGATAGAGTCAATATTTATTCACCTTAACCTTTAAAATTATGAGAAAAATCACTTTAAAATTATATATTTAAATCACTTTAAAATTATATATATTTTTAATAAAGTATTATAAAAAAATATCAAAAAAAACATAATTCATACTTTAAAAATATGTTATTTTCCTTTTAATTTTTTGAAAAAATAAAGTAGATTGACACTTTTCCTTATATATATTCCCTAAACTACTTAATTTTTTAAAGAAAATTACAAAAAAAAAAAAAGAAAAAGAAAAAGAGAGTAGAAATAAATAGCTAAGAACTCCATTAGAAAATGAAAACTTTTGTTTGGAGCTGTTCAGTGAAAAAACCTAATAATTAATCACCTCAAGCATATCGAAAATCTAAGCACAAGACAACATTACTGCATAGTGATACTGCAGTTGAAATTATTGTGTTGATTTCAGGAAAATTCACTACAGAAATGAAGAAGAAAGTGGGGAAAAAAACAAGAATAAAATTCTGACGATGAAATTGAGTTCCTCACTGATGTTCTGCTGAAGTTTCCGGTGGTCGAGTAAAGGGATTTCTAGTAGAGGTAATAGGAGGCATAGAGACCACTTTGATATCGAAAGGGTGCATCCGGTATTGCATGTCAGTCTCTCTTAAGATTTTCGCCATCTCTTCCACTAACAGAGATCTCCTAGAAAACCTCTCGCCCATGTTCTGGTGATTCATCCGGTGGCAAGGCCACACCGCCATCCTCAACATGTTCAGTCCGTCCAAATCCTTGGCTACAATCAATGGAGAAGGATACCAGTGCTCCTTCTTGTTCTCGATATAACTGCAGAAGTCATCGAATTCACATGCCTTTTCCCAGCAGATTAAGTCAACCATTAACTAAACAACATGATCTTCAGTTTCATTTACCTTGTGATTCTCTTCTTTATAAGAGAAATCGTCTCTGCTGGTGCGGCTATGTGGACACAGAACTCTACTGCATCTCCCATGTCTGGACTTCGGTAAAAGTTCATGATAGGCTTCGTTGAAAGAACACTATTGGGATATATAACCTTGAGATTGTCATATCTGAGGAAGATTGTAGTAAGAATATTCATCTCCTCCACCACCATCTAATTAAGGCAATCAAAGACATAAATATACATGTTATGCATTCTGGAGAAAACAGATATAAACAATGGACTAATTAATGCAGGGCAAGGCTTACCTGAACCCCGTCAATCTCACACCTGTCACCCACATCAAAGGGGTGTATAATGAACAAGAAGACGATGGCTTCAAATATTGTCTTGCAGGTATTACCGAAGACAAAGGCTACGAGGACCAGCTGAGAACTGACAAAGAGGAGGAATTTGGAGGTGGCAATTTCAAGTATAATAAGCCAGATAACGCCTATAATGGTGGCAGCAATGATGTTCACCATATGATGAAGCTTGTTCACGGCCGTCTTGGTATCATTCAGAGTCAAGGCAAGAGCTCTCCTTTCCCTGAAAGCATTTACCTGCAACAGAATTCATGTTATCTTGTGAAGATTGAAGAATCATTTCTAGTAGATTATGGGCAATGTTCTTAGTTCTTACCGCCCAGTCCTTCAATGCTTTCTTGCTAATTCTCTTGGTTTCACGAGCACCTTCAAAGAGAGTCATCGTCTTCAGAGCCTCATCATCTCTCATAAATCGAAACAAATCCTCCAAGAAAATGTACCTATCAGTGAAAAAGGTCACAAATGTGCAGCAAATTATAAATGATTATCCATACTAGAAACAAGATGAAAATTACTGTGAACCACGACGAGCAACATTCTGGAAGATTTTCCTGGCAGCAGCCTTGGCTTCACGTTCATTTGTGATCTGTTTTGATGAATCATCCTCTCTGACATGTTCACCGTGAAGAATCTGCTCATCCAAGGTTGACAGTGAGCCATGGCGGACTATGTTCATCAACCTCTTCATGTTCCAGGCTGAAATATTCTTGTGGGTAAGTTTGTGCAAATCTTCTATCGAAATCCCCTTCTCATCCTTCTTTGAACCTCCACGGCTAAGCATTCCACTCTTTGATATAAAGGTACTACTTTTCTGATAAACCTTCTTCGTCCCACAACTGGGCGGCGAGGCGGTTGCACGGAGGTCAGGCGGGAGAGTAATCCCTGCATTCTGCAACTTCAGGATCTCTAATTCAGTCCTGGCCTCCTCTTCTTCTAACTGCTGGATCTCAATCACTGGCGGCCCAGACAATGTCTCAATCACATACTGATTAAATAGAGTTTCCTGAATTCGGTCGAAGTATGTGCTGACATGAAACGATGAAGCTAGAACTTTAACAATCAATGTCTTAACCAACCAAAGCAGAGTCCCAACTAACAAACAGATCAAAACCTTGGTGATGTATTTGAGGAATGCACTTTTGCTTTCTCTTTCAACTTTCTTGTCAAACAAGAAATGCCATGCAAGCAGAACATAACCTAACCAGAGGCAATTCTGCACGGCTCTTCGAACTCCATAAACGAAATAGAGAACCTTTTTGCGCAAGAGGAAATTCCTCTCTATAAAGAACACAATCAACCTAATTCCCCAACCCGAAACCAATCTACCGCATATAAGAACGAGAATCAGTACTAACCATTTCCACAATATGAGTTTCCACACAACTATCTGTTTTAAGGGCCGAATCAAAAGAGAGCAGAGCAATGCGGCGATGAGGAGAACCAAGCTCACCCATTGAAGTAGAGTTAGACAATTGAAATTTGCCTTTCTGTATTTTTCAGGTAAGTCTTCATCGGCAAATGGGTCATCTTCGTCATCGTCAACAGCCTTATTCCCCAGCAAGCCAGACCTCATCATCGTCTGCTCGGATTTCCCCATCAGGCCTGATTTGAAAAATTCTACCTCCTCCGGTTGTGGGTCTATTAGCCTCGATTTTGTCTTCATTCGAGCGAGCAAATCTGCCGCTCTCTGGAACGACGCATTTGATGAGCACCTCAAAACCTCGTTATTATTTTGCTGCTGATAATCTGAAGGGCGAGATTGTGGTTCCTCCATGGGAGAATCCTTGTACCTTCGCCTAAAGGACTCGTTCCACTGGCTCGGATTCGAAAGGGGAGGTTCTAAAGGGGGTTTGGAATCTCCGAAGTGATTTTGTTTTAATTCATCCTTTTCCAAGTCCATATCAAGTGCAATCTCATTGTTGCTGTTGTTCTTCTGTTTGTTCAAGATCGGTGAATCATCCATCGGCTGCGGCCGCCCACCTTGCGTGGAATCAAAACTTTGATCGCTACCGTGCTCTCTATCCTTCCAAAATTCATAGCTACTTTTCTTCCAAACCCTGGGAGTGGGGGTCGGAATGGAGGAGGTAGGGTCGATTTCCTCCACATTAGAAACCCCACGATCGATCTTAGGGCTTCTGGGGTCACCTGGATTGGCAGGGGCCATGGCGGCCCGAAGGCTGTCTTGATCGGAGAGAATGGGGAGCTCCTCGTGGCCGGTCTGACGGTTGCTCCGCCCGGTTCTTATGTTCTTGTAGGAACCGTGGGATTTGAAGGACTTCTTAAGATTGGAGAAAGGATCCATTTTTAACACGAGGAAGAGGAGACTACAAACACATACACCTAAAATAATTTCAGGAATATTATTGCTATTTTAGTTTTGGATGCAAAGAAAATTGAAATTTTGGGTTTCTCAGTAAATAATCCAAGCACTAATATAGGCAGAACTGCAAATTACGAAAAGATTTGGTCTTGGAGTGATTGAGTCAATGATCCGTGAATTCAGAAGTCAAGTGCATTTTGCATGCCAAGGTAACGTTGGATGTTTAGGAGGAAAACTGCCCCCAGCTTTCGGTTTAATTTCGGTAAGTATTGACGGTGGTTCAGAAAGACTTTTGCTTAATAAACAAGGGTAGTTAGGTAATTAGGGTAATGTGAAAGAGAAATGGCATGCAATAAGCAAATATGATATCATTGATATCAGACCTTCAAAACTAAGAAAGACATAAGTTCATAGGAAGCTAAGCTTTCGCGCTTCCAATATCTTAAAACCATATCTCTCATATTACTCTAGTGCATTTAAGAAAATTTAAGAAAATTTATGTCTTTAAATACTAGCCCAAATTTTGAACTTTTTTTTTTTTTTGACAGTAAGAATTGGTTAGTAACTATGTTAGTATCTATTAGTGAAGAAATTTGAACAATTGAAAAGGGTGTAAACCACCTGTTGTCCAAGGGCAGCGTAACCACTTGGGTCACATAGGGATCTGCAGCCTAAATTATGAACCTTAAATCAAAACTACAAGACAACACTTATTTAACAATGGATCCAACCCTTGAGGTTTTAGTGAAAGGTCTTAAAGGAAGAGGAAATGACTCAATTATACAGGCTACAATACGTAATGAGCTATATAGCATGGATATCCTGCAGGAAGCCTTCACGGGAATTCTGCAGATGCTAAAAGCATCCACTTTCCAATTATACTGCTATAGAACTTTAACAAACAACAGCCACGAAATTAAAGCGATAATTGATAAAAGGAAAATCACATTATGTAATTGATAGTAAGGCCGTGCAAAAAGCGCCAAGCTCTAAATCTTATCCACACCTACATTGATATTTTTGTTTTTTTTGGTACATCCCCTTACCACATTGATATAACAAAGCGAAAAGGAGTGATTGACAAATGGAGACTTGATGGTGAATTGTGACAAGAAACAAAATAGAAAAAATTTAAAGCCCTGATAATTTTTTACTGTACATTGCTGGTGAAAATATTGGCCACACTTAGGTTTTAAATAAAGACGACTGGATGGATAAATCCTACTACTTTAATGGTGGCCTCTTCTAAGCACAGAGAAAAATCCAGATGTTTTATCTTTACGCCGATCCTCACCTTCTTCTCCTACCTATTGGATCAAACATCAAGGGTTAACGCAACTTTATATGTTATAACAGAGGAAGAACACAGGTAGCTGCATTATTGATAAAATAATAAACAAAAAAGTGTTGTACAATTCAGACTGCACAATGGGAGGCAGGTCATCTGATATTGCACGCTATCTCCCTTCCAACAGTTCCTGTTTTTCAGTCTAGTGTAGTCCGGACTGAAAATACAGGATTCTCGATAGTAAATACTAAAACTTATATACTGCAAATGCTGGGTAGATTAAGTAATCATACTTGTGTAAAGATGATAAAAGCATACCTCCTTGGCAATTTGCCGCAAGATCTCTATGATTTCAGAAAAATCAGGTCTTAACGTTGGGTCTTGTCGCCAGCATCTCTCAAGCAGTTCAGCAAGCTTTGGATTGGTGTTCTTGGGAATTGTGGGCCGTAGACCCTGAGTCAGTGTATCAACAAAAGCAATGACTTCCAATGTCATCTTGAACTAATTACTGTTAAAATTTTCTTTGAATCTCTTAGTTGCATTTATTTCCCATTGGGTTTTATGGTGTGAGAGGAGTTTTAGAGGGTACACAACTACACAATCAAAAGAAATGTTCTTTATTTGACAGATCAAAACCTTGCAGAGCCAGACAAGATGTTATCTTTCTTTTAGAAGTTAGTGAAAATCAAAACGTCCTGGCATTTTTTGCCTGTGAAATTGTTTACATACTCTTAATGAATATTCCTTTCATGTTGATTCATTAAGGGTATCTAAGTCCTTTCATTATCATTCTTGGCATTTTAATTACCATGATGTCCTGATTTTCCGCAAATTTATTACTAGTAGAATGGATGTCATACCTTTTGAACCACTCCAACAGCTGCTTGTAATGGGGTCAAGAACTCATATGGAAGCTGGCAAGCCAAGAATGTGAAGATTAGACAAAGGGGAGTACTAAAGAAACCCACCCAAGCATGTTTGTTGTGAAACAATAACAAAGGAATGATAAGTAGAGAATACCTTTCCAGTTAGAAGTTCCCATAACAAAATTCCAAAACTGAATATGTCCGCCTTATGATCGTATGGCTTGTGTTCTATGACCTTCGGTGTAAAAGAACCATTGTAAGAAAATGATCGGGAAAACAACCATTTAGAGGATGAATACCAACAGCCATTATTCTTCAGGCATGTTTATTAGCCACGCTAAGTAAACAAATTCTACAGTAAGTGATCAAACCAAAATAACCCTTCTAGTGAAAAGGAAGCACATAGAGGTGTTTAAGAGGATAACAAACCAAATCTTGAAAGTTGTTTTATGCCACTTTTTTTTTTTTTTTTGATGAATTTGTTTTATGCAACTTTTTGGAGGAAAATGAACTGATATAAATAAAAAATTGACCAACAGAAAAGGGGTATACACTGCAGCTTCTGAAAGAGCTATACGCAGGCAACTTGTAACATCAAGTCAGGAAAAACTTATTAGTAGAATGTCAGTCATATTTACTAGAGAACTTAAGATCTAATCGTCCCTTCATATATATATATATATATATA